TATTTTTTATTTATCTTTACAAGTTACCCTTATGTAGCTGCAATGATGAAAGGTTTGTATACTAGATTAATATTTCTAAATCTTGTAACATATTTATCTAGTCTATAGCCAGAACTCGAAGTTCTCTGATATACATGTGTTGAAGAAATAATGCACAAAATATCACGAATGTTACAACTGGCTACATGTTACTTCAGTTATCGTACAAATTATCTTCAAGCCAATTTCAGCAGGCCTGCTACAAACTTAATGAGACCATGTTTACAGTTGGCCCAGGGCCTTGACCTGCCTCAATCCACAATGAGACTATTTGATTACACCATCTCATCTACCAGAAATAATCCACTCTTATAGTGAACGACTTCTTCATCTCGACCATCGAAGCAGTCAGTATGTGGACTTGGATTTGTAACTTTGCTACTTAAACATTCTAAACCTTAAATAAATAAATCATCATAAAATATGTTTATTATGTCATATTGAAAAAAAAATTCAGTATTGGTAAATTCAGAGAAAATTGCTAGAAGTATTAACAAAAAAACATGTGAATTATACTTGTTGATAAAAATCTTTTATTTTCTCATCAAATCCTTTGTCATACCGATTTAGATATTCATCTATTCTCTTCATACTTATTTTTGGGAGCCAATCATATTCAGTTGCGATATCTTTGAAATTTCACTATGTTTACTCTACAACTATTTTATATCGTTCAAGTATACAACACTTTATTGAGTCCTATAAACTCTAACTCTTAAAATAAATAATATAGTAATTATATAAAAATGATGAGAAAGTTAGTGAAAATAATTAGCACGTACATGACGACGGCGATAAACAAAACTACTGATGAATATAGACCTAACGATTACGTTACGTACCTCTCACATAACTCCTGTTTTCTGCCAGAACCTCGCTGAACGTCTCAGCTATCTTTTAGTTCGTTTATAGTAATAGAATAATAAATGGTACTTGATGACATATTATCAGCGATTCGTATAATGCTAATTTAAATAGATTTAAACGACAGAATTTCGGGAAACACTTCCAGTATGTCTGCAGTAATTGTTGAATGCAGCGCCATCTATGTAGGACGATTGTTACCAGCCCACTATTCCTTGCGGTCAAAAACTTGCCTATGAGCTTCGCCAATTACTACCAACAATCATATCCCGCAGCAAAGATTTTTTAATTTTATTAATTTGAAGTTGAAAGATTTTCAGCAATTAACAGCCTAATTTATGACACAATTAGATAATTTCAAAAAACTATGACGAATGCTTGACTCATTTACATATGAATAAAATATATAAATTAGGCTATTATTGCCTTGTGAAACAAAACAATTATTACATGACCATTAATTCAAGTTATGTATTCTAATGTCTGAGCTTATAGTATAGGCTTACCTTTTTTGGCCTTATAAAAACAAAACACATTTTTGTATAAAACACTGCTTTGCTATAATGCATGGCAGATTGTAACACGTTGGTTAATTTGCCCCCGGGAGACGGTCCATAATTGGGAGCTGTTTTTGTATCTTAGCATTACTAATTCGTCAAAGAAATATCTGACAATTACAGCCTAAAAACCATTTTTTTATGATCATATACAAATGACAATTGATAGATCAAGCATACAATATTTTCAGAACAATTAGGTAATTCGAGATTTTAACTACCTGCCTATAAAAAACGATGATTTTGGCTGTCAAATGTTCCTCGTGCGTAAAAAACCGTGCGACCTCAGGAAGATGGGGCAATGAAATGTGCATGCGATTGAAGAGCGTTATACATATAGCGGTACTAGAATTGAGGGCCTCTGTTAAATTTGCCGTGTTCGACAAATTGTCCCCGTCTCCCCTATTACATGCTGCTACGGTGGAGTGTATTAGCGCCAATTGCGCAATATCTCACCAGAGGAAATTTATTATTGTCATGAATATTGATTATATTTGGTCTACGAATTTACGAGATATCCCAGCATAGAATTATTTAATAAATTATCAATAGACCGCGGTTTGTATGAAATAGAGCAGACCCATGCCTGTATGAGCGCAAAATCCTACTTCACCGCTCCCGTTTCCTCCCGTGCGTATACAGTAGTACACAAACTGCTACGGAGGCGTGTTATTTTTTTCCTAGGTCAAATCAGATAAATAGGGTCTAGCGCACGCTGCCATTGTGATACAAATCACGTGCCTCAAACTCTGTTTTAATGGCCATTCACTGCATTGTGACCCTAACCCAACCTAATCCTAACCATCAAACCCTAACCCTAATCCTAACCCTACTCTAACCCGAACCAAATCCATAGTTTCAAAAATAAATAAAAAAACTTAAATTTTTAATTGTTCGTAAAAATATAATTGTTGTTATATAAAATGTTGTAAAAACATCATGTGAAATCATTTGCGTTATGGAGAAATGTTACAACGAATATAAGATAGATAAATACAGAAAAACAGGAACATAATTACGAAACGGATGGGATTCGTCTGTACGCTGAGCGCTCAACCGCTATCTTCTATCTTGACTATATATGAATTTAGAAATTATGAATGTGATAATGTATACTGCAATTACTGTTAGTCACTTGAGTGACAAACAAGCTCAACATAGAGCGCCGTCACGACAGCCCTATGTTCTGTTGATTGACCTAGGAAAAAATACCGCTAGGGTGTGATTTAGCGCGAGAGTGCGCATATCTCAACCAGAGTAAGTTACTATATTATCGTGAATATGCATTTAAATAGGTTACGGGGTATCCCAGCACAGTTTTAGTAATACAATTATATCAGTAGAATCCTGTTGTTATGAATATGCAGAGAGCCGCCATACTAGCATGTAGAGCGAAACTCTATTCACCGCTACCCGTGCTCCCTTGCCTTCTTTGTATCTATCGAGACTTGCGGACGAGTACGTATCATGCTCGTGAGTAACAAGGTAGTTTTACAAGATTTCATTGACAATATCTTTAATGCAAAATTGGTATTTCCTTTCCACCCTGCCGATAAAACGTCTATATTAAAGTAAAGATTTACAAAACATGTCGGAACGCAGCATAACCTCTTTATTTCAAACGCCATCGCTACAAAGCGGCTATAGCGCCATATATGGTCACAAATTGTGATTCATTTTGGTTTATAAATTATTATTGCGATATACAGATGGCAATCGTTTCTATAATGTACGTCGATGGTTGCTCAATTAAAACTGACTTCTTCTTACTCACTCATTTGTGTCATTTTTTTGTGGTGAGCTACAGTGTCATTGACACTTTCATTATAATACGCGGATGTAAACCTCGCAACAAAAAGCCTACTAGTACTACTATAGTCTATAGTACTACTACTAGTACTAGCTGACACTGTAACAATATGCACGTGGTTCATTCTGCCACAGCTCATACGTTTCTTGCTACTGTACTGGGCTGGTACTGGAATTTTTCGTACAAATTTCTACAAATTTTAAATTTAAATTCATACTTTCTATCAGTTAATTTCTACTAGTAGTTACTACTAGTACTAGTACTACTACTAGTACTAGTAGTGGTACGTATCATCATTTAAATAGCCTTATATAATACGTTACCATACGTAGTCTGTCATTTGCTTTAGTGTAGCTTCATTGCCTTTTGTGGGTTTAATGCATTCACTTATGCTCATAGATGATATAGGGTCTATGCTCCCCAGGGTACTGCCGGAATGTACCCTGGGTACGGTCCGGTATACCGGAACGTACCCTGGTAACTATCTGATAGGGTTAGGGAGTAGGCGTAGGCGACTCCCTAGACTCGTTAGTGGAGTAGGCGAGGTATGGTCCGGCATATTAGATAGTTACCAGGGTACGTTCCGGTATACCGGATCGTACTCAGGTTACGTTCCGGCAGTACCCTGGGGGATCGCATAGACCCTCTCAGCTTCACTTATGTTGGAACTGTGTTGTCAGCAGGGTTCTCCCCAGGATGAAATTCAAACAGGGGGGAGGGGAGGGGTATATAGGTACATTCATATCGGCTTTTATGAATCATTTACTCACGTACATATATAGAACACATGATTGAGAATATAAATTCAACACACCCGTTACACATCGTAATTATTCGTCTGGCGAAATTTACATTCTGTTCCGGCATCTCTTATCTGTAACATGTCTCACGTGCCTTATTAGCAACATAATACTAACGTAGAGAGCCGAGACATTTTTTCTTGACACGCTGATATTTCCAGACATGAATTGGTGGGACAATCACTCAGAAATTTCCACTTCACAGTCTATATCTTCTGTCTATGAAGTTTACATTTTACATTTGCTAAGCGCTAGAGAATTTACTCTGCTCGCCCTCCAACGCAAGTCTATTTTCGACCCGGTACAACGAGAACAACGACCAGAAACAGCAGAAACGCAAAGAGCTACAGACTGCGGTTTAGGGGTGTCACTTTGACCCGTGCGTAGATGGAGGGTCACGTGATGTGGCTGCACTTGTGTTAGGGTTAGGGTCAGGGCCGGTCAGGGTTAGGGTTAGGATTAGGGTTAGGGTTAGGGTTAGGGTTAGGGTTAGGGAAATAAGGCCATGTCTAGCACGGAATTATGACTGTGGAATCTTTCTGTGGAAGATTTGGACTTTGAAGCGTGCGAAGTGACTAGTGCTGCCACGTAACGGCACCCTCCATCTACGCACGGGAGGAAGTGACAACCGCGGTTTAGACACAGCTAGACTGCTTGGGCGAGAATTTTTTATTTTGTTGGTTTACAGATCCGCCGACCCGAATTTTCAAGAAAAACGAAAAAAAATAAAAATGGAGAATTTTTTTATTCCCGCCGACCTTTTCTCTAAGAAAAATGAATAAAAATTTTTTAATGTAAAAACAAAAACATTTCATAAACAAACAGTTTATAATATAAGTAAAAATAATTACAAGTTGAGTTCTGTTTTCATTTAGTTTTCTTAAAATACTTTAATATCATTTATAACAGTATCACTGTATTTTGACTTGTTTGATCTGACAAAACGACATTTTTTTTTTACCTTATTGAGTCAACAACAACAAACAAAATTCTGTAAACCAACAAAATAAAAAATGGTGGCCTTACTTGAAGAAAACTCGGAAGTTCGCCATCATTGGCTGTCTGTATATCATTTATTCCAACGCCATACCTGAAACCATAATTAAAAAAACGTTGTAATGTTATCGTACACGCATAAATAATTCAGTATAATTATGTATCATATAATATTGTACCATATAATATTGTACCATATAGTAGTATGAAGTGCTAACCCATCATTGCATCAACAATTAATGTCATTTCAAATATTGGCAACTTTGGCAACTTGGTATTTTTGGCAACTTTGGTCTGGAGACGAAACTTTTTGGTACTTTTGATCTTATTAAAATTAACTACAAACTTACTATGAACCGTGACAATTAACGTTGAAGTAAGCACTATACTCACGCGGCCCACGATGTCTTCATGGTCTTAACCCGCGTGGTGTTGATTCTAATCATATTTAATGGATTAATGCAAAAACAACAAAAATGCGTGTATACAAAATGTAATGTCAAGCAAGTCGGCCTGAAATGCGCGCGCTGCTATGCTGCTACTTAGTAACCGTTGTCGCTGACGTCGCATTTGCAGTCGTGATGTCACCATTGTGTTTTACTATTGTGTTTTACCATCTCATATCAGAGCATATAAATCAACGCGATATGCTCTGATCTCATCATAACCTAATAACCTCATAAATCAACGCGATGGTCAACCATATGCGATGCCATGTTTCGCCCAGTTTCGGGCCGTTACCCATACCCTCATAGATATTAGTCTGCAAAGTCCGAGGGTGAAGGGACTAGCATATCGACGACGGAAAGAGACGATCGAAGTTGATCAAATTGACAGATAAACACTGCGGATCGCAGTAGAAAAGCCTCAAATTTGCAATTAACTGAAGATTCCAATACGGAATAAAAAAAAGATAAAAAAAGCTAAACCGAGATCCGTAGAAGATGACACGTGTCGAAAGAAATTATCACGCTCAGATGGTTTGAAGTTCCAAGTTGGTTTCGGTCTTTCTACATACCGGTGACCACCATGCCCAAGATGTCTGCGCCCATAACAGTGTGTGCTAAACTGCTGTTATGTCAAATTAAACAGCCATGGAAACAGTTAAGGAAACTCTCCCTTTCAGGGAACCCATCAGTAAAAGAAATACTTAGTCAGCCTGAGTTAAGAGGCCAAAAAATATCTGCAAAGGTACATGTTCATATGATATCATAGTTCGTCACGTCTTCTCTGGTTTATTTTTCGGCAGGTGGCTGGAGGTACGGCCATGCCGTCGCGTCGTTCAATCCCCCCTTTTTTTTGCGTTTAGGGTTAGGCGTTGCGGTTAGGATTAGGCGCTTAGGGTTAGGTTTTAGGTTATGGTTAGGGTTAGGTTAGGAGTTAGGTTAGGGTTCTTGCCTCATCTAAACTCTCTCAAAATCGTGAATTTATTTCCAAGGCGTTTATCTTTCGAAAATCTGGCGCGCCGCCGGCCATCTTTGTCTCGTTAAGGTATGAAAGCGAATGGCACTGGCGTACCCTAGAGCCTCGCGACATTTAAGATACGCTGACCCGCGTACCTACCCGTAGCCCAGCTGCCTGTTATTTTTAGTTCACCGTGACATCGTCCAGAGAGACATGACTACAGATTGCATGCGACAGCTTTGCTGTTGCGAATCCATAGATACTAACCAAGGGTGGTATCTAAGCCCCTTGGGTTAGTATCTATGGTTTGCATCCTTTAAAGCGCTGCGGCGCGATTAGACGCGCGGTTCCGCGGGGATATTGCGCACCGCGGGACCGCGGGCATGTTTCAAAGTTATGAAGGCGCTTGTCCGCAGTGGAGACGCTGCGCCAATCTCGGCAGCTAACACTCCATTAGGAGTATTCCCAACTTTGGAATATCTTACATGAGTTAATTGATTGAATAATCCTAAACCCTTGAACCCTAACCCTAACCTAAATGACATTAACCACAAATAAATATATCATGGGACCATATCATAATATAGTAATATTATATATATATATTTATATTCTGTTATTATGCGGACAATTAATGGACATATAAGTTGTGAGAACACTCCTAATGGCAGTATCACCCCAAATTCAAGGCCCGGCCGCACGTCTCCACAGCGGGTCAGCGGATGGTCTGTATCGTTTTAGAAGATGGACAATTGATTATGACGATATTTGTAGGAATTGTGAGATTATAAAAACCGTAACAAAAATTGGTCAGTCATTCTCCAGAAATCTAGGCTTGTAATCAAACAAGATTCGATTTATTATGAACAAAACAACATACAATTGGTTATAACATCACAAACAAGAAAAGATAGAAATTTAATAGAGCAACCCAAGTATTAAAAAATGGGAAACAAATATTCATACCTGAGCGGGATTTATATTAATGATATAGGAGCGTTTAACGGACGATGATAACTGAGGTCGAACTAAAAATGGTAGGTTCATGACTGAGCGAAATATTATATCCTGCGGCAGTAAGAGCCAAAATTATGGAATCCATACTATAGAAAGCAGAGTAATTATACGAATGGCACAGTTTGACCTTCCTTCCTAAATTAACAGTGGAAAGGACTGGACTAAACTTACCTAAGGAAGAAGTAAAATGTTGGAGGAGGTTCCCAAAATGAGTGCCTGCCGCAAAATAATAATCACGCCAGAAAAAACTCTACCGAAGGCATGAAAGACGATTGAAAAACTCAAGGCGAAAGATCACTGGAGAAATTCAGTAAAAAATAACATAAAGTTTACTAACGTAAATCGTGGTAAATACATATAAAATAAAAACGCATTATTTTATTGAAATTCCATATTTACTTATAAACATCCAAGAGATGGCGCTGTGGCATGTAAACTTAGCTCGGATTAGCCTCGATCCGAATATTGTGTGTGTTTTTATTTGAATTGTTTCAATAATGACGCACTCTCGTTCACTTCGACAGCAAGCTGAAAATGCCAGAAAATTTTCTTGTTTCGATTCAAATGCATCGGGCCGGGCATTTCATTATTTACGAAAAGAAAACAGGCTGGCGGGAAAGGAACCGGTCACGTCGGTGACGCCCATTCATGCCCATCAACGAAGAAGGCGGGGCTTATTCTTATTACCGAGATGCTAAAATGCAAACAAAAGTACGTAGCTTAGTGCGCTAAACGGCGTGTTATTTTCGTTTTTGTGCCAAACTCTATCGTAGGAAACCATTCTAGCCTAGCAGAATGCCCTAGTTCGTGAGATCGGCGATTCCATGGCGAAATGGTATTGTACTCAAAAGTTAGAAGATAAGGGCGGCGGCGCTAGACTTGATTGGAAAGACACAAAGTGTCAATCCTCGGCGAGCCTCGGTATCATTGCGCATCACGTCAAGCTGAGCTATTGCCATTGGTCGACGTCCGTCGTACGTCCGTCCGTCCGTTCGTCTGTCCGTCCGTCCGTCCGTCTGTCCGTCCGTCCGTCAACATTTCGATTCGGTCAACGATAACTCAGGAACCGTTTGGCCCACATGTTTGAAATTGGGTATAGTTGTTACTGCTGCTCCAACGCTGAGAGGGTCTAATGTCCCCCGGGGTACTGCCGGAACGTACCTGTGGTACGGTTCGGTATACCGGAACGTACCCTGGTACTATCTAATATGCCGAACCGTACTCGTCTACTCCACTAACGAGTCTAGGGAGTCGCGCTACGCCTACTCCCCTAAAACCGAACCCGAAACCCTAACCCTATATCCTACCCTTAACCCTAACCCTAATCCTATACCCTAAACCAAATAATTAAATAGTGACCAGGGTACGTTGCCGATACCGGGACCGTACCAGGGTACGTTGCGGCAGTACCCTGGGACATAGACCCCTCATGAGCGTTACTGCTATGCTCCCATGATATTAAACGTCCTATTTTGAACGCACGCCAGTCGGTTGACGTACTTTTGAGCCACGGGCAATTTTTTGGGCAAAAATGGGAAATTGCCATAGTCAGTTCAGGTTCAACGGATTTTGCTCATTTTGGTATGTGAATGAATAAGGGCTAGGGGTTTTGATATTTAAAAAAAAAATATGCAAATTAGTAGGGTTTGGCAATTATTATAGCATATTATATAGACACAAACAGTGTGTGTTCACACTCGTCTGGGTTCGTTTTACAAGATTTCATTGACAATATCTTTTTATGCAAAATTGGTTATTTCCTTTCCACCCTGCCGAGAGAAAACGCTCTATATTAGAGATAAGATTTACAAAACATGTCGGAACGCAGCATAACCTCTTTATTTCAAACGCCATCGCTACAAAGCGGCTATAGCGCCATATATGGTCACAAATTGTGATTCATTTTGGTTTATAAATTATTATTGCGATATACAGATGGCAATCGTTTCTATAATGTACGTCGATGGTTGCTCAATTAAAACTGAGCTTCTTCTACTCACTCATTTGTGTCATTTTTTTTGTGGTGAGCTACAGTGTCATGACACTTTCATTATAATACGCGGATGTAAACTCGCACAAAAAAGCCTACTAGTACTACTATAGTCTATAGTTACTACTACTAGTACTAGCTGACACTGTAACAATATGCACGTGGTTCATTCTGCCACAGCTCATACGTTTCTTGCTATGAGCTGGGCACACTCATACTGGGCTGGTACTGGAATTTTTCGTACAAATTTCTACAAATTTTAAATTTAAATTCATACTTTCTATCAGTTAATTTCTACTAGTAGTTACTACTAGTACTAGTACTACTACTAGTACTACTACTAGTACTAGTAGTGGTACGTATCATCATTTAAATAGCCTTATATAATACGTTACCATACGTAGTCTGTCATTTGCTTTAGTGTAGCTTCATTGCCTTTTGTGGGTTTAATGCATTCACTTATGCTCATAGATGATATAGGGTCTATGTCCCAGGTACTGCCGGAATGTACCCTGGGTACGGCTCGGTATTACCCCTGGTAACTATCTGATAGGCGGTTAGGGAGTAGGCGTAGGCGACTCCCTAGACTCGTTAGTGGAGTAGGCGAGGTATGCGGTCCGCATATTAGATAGTTACCAGGGTACGTTCCGGTATACCGGATCGTACTCAGGTTACGTTCGGCAGTACCCTGGGGGATCGCATAGACCCTCTCAGCTTCACTTATGTTGGAACTGTGTTGTCAGTATCCAATTATTTGTTTTCTTTTTTAATAAACAGGGATGGGTGAAGGCGGTTCGGGCAATGAAGGAGGGAAAGTTTGTTGATTTAGGTGATGGATCTTCCCAGCAAATCCTTCAAGTAGTTGTAACACCATGTTGTGATAAAAGGTAAGCTCAATTCCTTAATTGTTGCATGCTAATAAAGACGCTGGTTGATTTTTGTGGTTGGCTATATAGCTGTGTGTGTAGTGATATGTTTTTACCGCCAGTGGTAATTAATGCATTAGTAGCGGCATGGCATCTGTAGTAATTGCTAATCTTATCTACACTAAGATGTTATGGCATTGATGAATATTATATTTGTGTTCTCTCTGCAGGGATATCACATTTGGAAGTTGTCTAGAAGTGACAGGTCTATTAGAACAGAGCAAAGGACAAGGGCAGGCAGTCGAACTTGTTGCCGAATCCATCTCTCTGGTCGGCCCATGTGATGTCTCGGTAAATATGTATTGCTATTGGGGCATCGACACTAATCCAGACCTTTCATTGTGTGTGTGTGTGTTGTGTGTGTGCGTGTGTGGGTGTGTGCATGTGTGTGCATGTGTGCATGTGCATGCATGTGTGCATGTGTGCGTGTCCACCACACATGGTTCTCACCAGGCTTTTGATGCATATCAAGTCCCACATGCCTTCAAAGCTGAAGTCATGCCATAAATCCTCCAACCTTCCCTAATTGCCCAACCGAAAAGCACTAGATTGCAGATGGCTTCTAGATTCCAGCACAGTCATGCTGTGTTTTCACAGCTTGATAGATATAAATATATATTTAATTATATGTCTTCTAACTTAACCTGCGTATTTGTGTCGTAATTACAACATGCATAATTGGCTCCAATTGATACAACCCCCTCCCAGGCCCTGCCCCATCTGTCCATACAATAAAGTTCTAAAACTTCTGGCGAGAACACTGTTATATGTATATAATATATATAACATGAACTTTAGAATTGTGGAACATATAATTGAATGAATACCAAAACTATGTTGATACTGATTAAATAGGTTTTCTGTCAGTTGGATGTCGGCTAAGTGAAGGCTTATAGGTTTTTGCCCACAGGGAGACTATCCTTTCAAGCCGAGAAAGCGGTATTCGGCAGATTACAGTAGACAGCATCTACACCTGAGACAACGAACTAACTCCTTTGCAGCACTGCTCAGGATGCGTAATGTCGCGACACAAGAAATACATCGCTTCTACCAGGTTAGGTTTATTTGGTTTGAATGATTAATTGTTACATATCATGACATTTTTCATCCCATAGAAATGAAATTTAATATTTATTGGCCCATTTGTTAGGGTTCTCATGTTTTCTGTCTTTCGTCTTACAAGATAAATGTAAGGTTTATAATATAATACAAACGTTTGCTCTTTGTTTACTGAAAGTAAGAGCTCAGATGCGTGGGTACATGTATATACTGTGTATCACCCAACATCTACTGTGCATTTGTTATTTCAAGAGTCTAGGCTTTATTCAAGTGCACACGCCAGTTCTCACATCAAACGACTGTGAAGGAGCTGGGGAGGTGTTCCACATCATGGTAAGCCTTCCATCTGTGAGAAGAACACTGATCTATTCACTGAGTTACTGGGATTAATAACATTATACATTGGTCCCTGCTATATAGGCCTCGGATAACCAGTTGCTTCGCTTAAATTACGTATGTCTTTGGAAGACCATCTATGTATTGCACCCTATGTGCAGTGTACAGTGCATGTTGTGTACAGACAAGGTACAAGTAGGCATGCATGTGCGACGAGAAATGTGTTCACCACTTAATCGGGACATTTTCATGGTTTCTGACTTGTACTGGTAAAGCAAGTACCACTGTATATGACATTCTAATCATGTACATGCTTGTATGCATGCATGCATGCACATGTTTGCATTCATTTAGACACCTAAGTCAGACATCTAGATAGTATTACACGTTGTACACTTTACTGCATGTGTCAAAATAATTTTATTTTGATGTAATACATTAATGAATAATACTTTTATAATTGAAGTAGCCAGGCATTCAAGCGAGCGGACCGAGAAAAAATACTCCAGATACGACAGATAATTCTACCCCACTGATGTTCTTCGATACCCCAGCCTACCTCACTGTGTCTGGACAATTGCATCTAGAAGCTGTTGCTAGGTAAGACGTAGTTTGGAATTGATGCTGTCTATGAGAATGGAGTTAACATTTATTATGTTTAGGAATGGTCGAACCCATATGTGTGGTGCCTTTATAGTGCGTAAGGCTACACAGACCTATACCAACAGTCAATATAGGAACCTACCTAAAGTAGTGATTGGGTGAATGCCCATGTCATAGCTGTTCCACTCCCATAGCTAAACTACTTCTACTTGTAACTCGGGTGCATTTCTACGATTCACCGTCACTAAACTATTGTCACTTCCTAAACTAATATATATTACCGTTAGGAAGACAGCATTCGTACACCATTTCCTTTGTCAGATTCCTCAAACAGCGATGTTATTGTTCTTGCAGTGGAATGTCTAAGGTGTACGCATTCAACACGGCATTCAGAGCCGAGAATTGTCAGAGTCGTCGTCACATGTCTGAATTCTACATGGTCGAGGCAGAGCTGGCATTTCTCTCCTCCCTGGACGACCTGATGCAGGTGGGAGTGCCTCCGTACATACAGCGTCCGTCGCTACACAATGGCTAAAATTTCACCACAGCACTGACGGCAAATGCCATGGTTGCCCTCCGTACGTGTCATGGTGCCGTTGAAAATTGAACAATGTCCACGGCAATAAACCCCACGTATAGCTGCCTAACCTGGCCTGCCTTTTTGGTTTCCCTATCACTCGTTACTATTGTAATTCGTCTTAACCCAAGAGATATAAGGGAGAAGAGGTATAAGATCAAAGGAAAAACGTTTAGTCATTACAGAAATTGTAAACGTGTTCATGAGAATGATTTAAATGTGCATAAAGCAGTGTTTAATTTAGACAGTGTTAAATCCATCAGATAGTTAATTCAGTACACTGTATTCCACCCACCATCATTCCAACATTCTACTGTAGAATGTAGAGGACCTGGTGAAGACAACAGTGAAGCGAATGTTGGAGACTTGTGAGAGTGACCTGACCCTGTTCTTCCAACATCTATCACCAAAGGGACACAAAGTAAGGATTCCTTCCTCAGTGCAGTGCTGGGCCACATGCAACCCTTGTGCGTGATTAGCATACATCCATGATGTCTGTACAAGTCGTTATACGTCACAGACATTTATCACTAGGAAAAGCCGCTTAAATAGCGGACAAATGCACAGGTGACCAGAGGGGACCCGAAAACGTGATGCAACATTACACAAAGAACACATAAACTATAGGTTATGCACTCTTGATTGCACCCTAGGTGGCACACATGCAATACAGCATAACATACTACATGTGTTATGCTGCCAGTGGTTGTTGAATTTGTACCTGTACATGCTTAATTGCTGTATTTGTTTGTATTGTTTTAGGAACAAGTGCAGAAAATGCTATCGTCAGAATTTAAAAGGTAAAAACCTCCGTTCTTCGGTGGTGATTAGATTCTGAAAACCGATGCACTCTAACTTTCGAAAGAAACCATCCAGTAAGAGTTATGGTGCAAGGTGATACATTATAATAAGTAAAGGACAATATTATAAGGCAAGACCATACTAATTTTACTTAATTTTACTTGTACTATTTGATCACGGGATGAGACTCACGTCGTACCTAGAGCTGCACGTTTTAATATTTCCCTTGTGTCATTACGAATATGGCCTAAAGATGAGTAAAGATCGCGTGTGCTTACAGGATGACATACACAGATGCCATCGGAATACTGCGAGGGCAACCGGGACTGAAGAGCAAGGCTGAGGTGAGTGTAACGAATGACCGTCATTGATGTAGACGTCTTCACGTTTACACATCCACAAAACTCGCAAGTATCTCATGATTGACGCACATGTGCGCCCTTTCTCACTGCGGCAGTTGTGCGTGCGCCGGCCACACTCAACTGATTTTCGCCGTAATTGCATGCGCCATGTCAGCTGTCGCTCGTTTCGTTGCAGTGGGGTGACGACCTGTCTAACGAGCAGGAGCAGTGCTTGGTGAAGCAGGCCGGTGGCTTACCCGTGTTTGTCACCGACTGGCCAGCCTCGGCTAAACCTTTCTACATGAGACCGAACCCAGATGGGAAAACGGTGAGCAGTGACATTATCATAAACGCGGTCGACCATACTAGTCGCACTGTTGTCTGCGGTAAACTATTACACCTCTGATGCCAGATACATGTTCACGTGGTCAGTTTCCTGTTCACATGTTGCATGTTCTAGGTCGGATGTAATGACATCAGTTCAGTATGTTGAGTCCCTATCTAGTTTTCATCATCTTTGGTGAGGATTGAGAAATATTTAGGTTTTTTGTATTTTCTTAGAAATGTATTTATACTAGTGGTAATACTTCTGTCAGAATAGAATATTGTGAACTCTTGGTGGGACTGGAACCGACGTACCATTCATCAACAGGTAGCCTGCTTTGACCTGCTGGTACCGGATGTGGGAGAACTGTGCGGTGGCAGTCTACGTGAGGATGATCTTGACCGGCTAGAAGCCAAGGTCGCGAAGCTGGGTCAAGCAGATGCTCTCTCCTGGTAAGGATATGTTGTGAAAAGGATTCTTCCGACTTTAGTGTGGTGCTTTATCAGGTGCCGTTGGAGACAGTATTTAACTCTTTCTACATAACTGTGAGGTGTGAGAGGTAGGTATTTCCAGGTTTGTGCCCATCTTTAAACGTTTACACTGGACTAGATCAAACTAGAACAATGTTTGTAGTTTCAAACAAAGTTGCCTGCTAAAATAATCCGAAAAAAACCCACAGGTATGTCGACCTTCGCCGCTACGGAGCGACCCCTACTGGTGGCTACGGGCTTGGATTTGAGCGCCACCTACAGTGGATTTTGGGCATCAACAATATCAAGGACACAATCCCTTTTCCTCGCTGGACCCACCACTGTCGCATGTAGTGAACATTTCTCTCTCCAATATCAAATCTTAGAGAGATAATACAATAGGCAATTCACTATATATATAGTAATACTATATAGTAGGCAATTTCTGCTAACGATTTGGCTGTTAATGAAACACGCTCTGCCATGTTGTTCTACTGTCATGAATTATTGTATTATTAAACATGTACAAATAAACTAGATCTACATATATATATACGTTTGTATCTGCTTGAGCCTACGCAATGCTTCCCCGCTCTATATGATGCACAGGGGGGCTATTGTAACTCAAGGTCAACCTTACCCCCAAATAGCACCTTTTGCGAATTTCGTCTAATGATGATAACTCCGTAAGTAAGTGACATAGGAAGTTGATTTTGTGGCAACATATAGGTTTTTTTGACACCAAGAAATTGATTGACACCATTATTATACATTTTGGAGTTCACCTAATTAGAAGAAGTATAAGATGTCTGCCAAAAGCGATAATTAAGACACGAATTGTACCATAGAAAGATGATTGAAGGATATACATGCATCATAGAACTGTACAGGTGGACGAAAGAAACGACAGAAGGAGAACACCCATGCATATCATGAATGCGGAATCTGTTCATGGTCTTGGACGCGGAGGCAAAATTGTGACCACAACCCTAAACCATAAAGGACTTGCAATCAGCTACGCAGAGCTGCGTAGGTACCAACATGATCTCGCATCTTTCACGGCACAGCACAACCAAAACCGCGTTGCGCTACCCTGCCACTTTGATCCCGGGCAATTCCCTTCTGGTGCCATTGACAATTGGGATCATGAGGGT